GCTCTCCTTAGATCCCACCTCATTGCTCTCCTTAGATCCCACCTCATGGCTCTCCTTAGATCCCACCTCATTGCTCTCCTTAGATCCCACCTCATGGCTCTCCTTAGATCCCACCTCATGGCTCTCCTCAGATCCCACCTCATGGCTCTCCTCAGATCCCACCTCATGGCTCTCCTCAGATCCCACCTCATTGCTCTCCTTAGATCCCACCTCATTGCTCTGCTTAGATCCCACCTCATTGCTCTCCTTAGATCCCACCTCATGGCTCTGCTTAGATCCCACCTCATGGCTCTCCTCAGACCCCTGGCTGCCCATGGGAGGAACTTGGCTCTTCCATGGAGCCAAGGAGCTCGATTTGGGTTGAAAACCTGATGAATTTGGGTTGAAAAGCAATGAGGAGGAAGCACCAGAGCCCGTGATGAGGGTGGTGGGACCGGTACTCACTGCAGCGGCTTCTCCCCTGTGTGGATGCGCCTGTGGATGATCAAGTTGCTGCTGGTGCGGAAGGAGCGGGCACAGAACTCGCAGATATAGTCCCTCTTGTCTGGGGGGCAGAAGCAAGGAGGGCTCAGGGGCTTGGGATGCTCAGGATGGGGTCCCAGGGCTCACGTGGAGGCAGCCAACTCACCGCTGTGCAGCTTCTCGTGCTCCTTGAGGTGCTTCTTGAAGTTGAAGGACTTGCCGCAGCTCGGCTCCGAGCACGTGAAGGTCTTCTGGTGGACGTGCTGGTACTTCTTGTGGTGCTGCCGTTGTGGGGCGAGAAAGGGGTAAGAAGAGAAGTTGCTGATGAGAAGATGCACTTGGAGGAAGCCCAAAGGGCCCCAGTTCACCCCCTAAAGCGTGAGGTGGGACCGAAGTGACCTCGGGCTGCTGCACCCATGGGGCCAACACGTCCTACATCACCCATGCTCCATGGGCATCCCGGGCTGCCCAATTCCAGCTCCACAACACCCCTCGACCCTGCCCCGTGGGGGTCACCAGAGCGTCCCAGGAGGCCGGGGCTGGGGGGCTGCTCCTCCTGGGGCTGGGTTTAAGCTCAGGGGGTGCCTCAGGCCTCACGTTCAGGTACTGGCGGTTGGAGAAGATCTTGCCGCATCCCTCGAAGTCACAGAGGAGGATCTCGCGCTTGGCGGCCTTCCTGCGGGATACGGGTGGGGAAAGCGGCGTCAGGGGGGAGCCAGGACGTGCCGGTCCCAGCACCCAGGAGCAGGATGGGGCCACCAGCCCCACGTACCGGATCCTCTTGGGGCCGATCTGCGCCACGTCCTCGGCGCTCGCCCGCGCTCGCCTCTTGCAGCTGCAATGGGAGAGAAGGGGCTTGAGTGAGGCTCCTGTCCCCCCCCCCGCCGAACCCCCACCGAAGGGCCCCCCGTTCTCTGCTATTTCCTCCATCCTGGGGGATTCCCCCCATCCCAGCGGGAAGCGGCGCTGACAAATGCACCTTTGAGGCATCGAAATGGGAATAGATTCTTTATTGCTCATGAGAAGCCTTTCACATGGGTTTGGGCATGTCCCAGGACATAAAGATTGGTGCCAGCCTCACACCAGCCTCATTTGGTCTATGATTTATCCACAGGGAATTCCGGGCTGGCTTCCTGAAATGAAGGAAAAGGGTGTTAAAACCAGGAGTGCTTTCAGGGGGAGGAGAAACAAGGAGAGTGCACCAGGCAGTGATGCCAGAGCACAGGCTCAGCACGGGGCTGGGCATCTCCGTCCACAACCACTTCCAAGACGCTTTTAGCTCGGGATGGTGTTACCTTTGGGATGAACACACTGAGGGCTGGAGCTTCTGCTCAGGAAAAGCCATTTTCGCTCCGTTCTTCCAGGTGCTGCGACGAGAAAAGGGGGGACACTGAATCAAAGGCTGGGGAATGTCACCCCTGCAACCCAACCCAGCCTGAAGCTGAGGCAGGGCTTTGGAGAGCTCCCAGACTGGTTGCCCCGGGTCCCAGCAGCACCTCCCAGCGCCTCTTCAGGCACTGTTGGACTTTGGGGTCTGAACGCTGGGATTCGGAAGGGAAAACATGCAGGAAATGCCCCAGGCATGTGGAGAAATCCCTCTTTTAATTCACTTTGAGCCTTAACCAGGACTCCCCGGACACTTCCCACCCTGGGGTGAATGTGGGAGCCGGTGTCCCCCAGTGCAGTGATGGGCAAGAGGAGGAGAAAAGCAAATCCAGCTTTACCATCACGTTTTCCGTTGCTGGGAGTGGGTCTTCACTCTTCCAGCGAGCAGGAAGTGCTTCCAGCGCTGGAAGGAGGCAGGAGGGGTGCTCAGCACCACAACGAAGCGGGAATTCCATGTCCAAGTGAAAAGGCTCCTGAATGGAGCAGCAGGTACTTACGTCTGGGGCTGCTGGTCCCATCTCCCATTGGACACACGGAGCAGGATGAGGTGAACGTGCTCATTCCAGGGTAAAAGGAGGGTTCAACCACCTCCTTGTTGTTACAAGATCCAGGAAGGAGGCTGGTCCTTCTGTGCCAGCCCCACATGGACCAGCCTCTGGCTTCAGCACCGAGACCAACCTCTCCTTAACACCCTTGTGGGGAGACCCAGCGACTGAGTTGAGCTCAGGATGGAGCTGGGAATGTTGAGGCTGGGAAGGGAGGATCAAACCCAACCCTCAGCCCAAAGAGGCAGCGCTGAGGAGAGGCTGCAGATGGAGTCAGCACCGACATCATTGTCCCTTGGCCAACCTCATGTCCCCCCATGGGCTGGAAGCCCCATATCCATGAGCGAGAGCAGTGTCTGTGCTTCTCCAGGTGAGGAGGGGTGGGATGGATGGATGGATGGATGGATGGATGGATGGATGGATGGTTTTGCTGCTACAACCTCCAGGCTGCTCAGAAGCTTCAGCACCACCACGATGCTGGTTTAAGGGGTCTTTGTACCCCTCCAGGAGCACATCTATGCTCCCCGACCACTCAGAACATCCACAAGACACAGCGGATGAGATGAAGACCCATTAAACCCCCCCATAATGAGGTTGTCACATCAGACCCCCCTTGGCAAGCTCCAGCACCCAACCAGCTCTGCCCTGCAATGGCAGCACCATGAGAAGGATCAAACCACGCTGGGGACACGTGGTCCCCGGGCTTGAACATCCAATAGTGTTGGGGTGGATGGTTTCTACCTGGTTCCTCAGCATGGGAAGCACCACCAGCATCCCCACAACACTCATTCAGTGGCCACAGAGAGATGGGTGCCCCAAGATAAGCACCCAGTGCCCGTCCCCAGCGTCACCACATCGACACGGCGCCGTGACCCACCTCACTCGTCCACTCTTCTCCTCCGAGGGGCTGGAGCTGCTCAGGCTCAGCTCATCTGGGGGCTGCTCCTCCTTTATGGGGGTCTTACGGGCTTTGCTCTGGCTTGGTCGTTGCTGCGGCTCCGAGTCACTGGGGAGACGAGAGGATTGAGATAGGCAACACGGCTGGATGCGGTAGGAGATGGGTGGTCATGGAAGGACATGGCTGGATGTGGTAGGAGATGGGTGGACATGGAAGGACATGGCTGGATGTGGTGGGAGATGGGTGGACATGGAAGGACATGGCTGGATGTGGTGGGAGATGGGTGGACATGGAAGGACATGGCTGGATGTGGTGGGAGATGGGTGGACATGGAAGGACATGGCTGGATGTGGTGGGAGATGGGTGGACATGGAAGGACATGGCTGGATGTGGTGGGAGATGGGTGGACATGGAAGGACATGGCTGGATGTGGTGGGAGATGGGTGGACATGGAAGGACATGGCTGGATGTGGTGGGAGATGGGTGGACATGGAAGGACATGGCTGGATGTGGTGGGAGATGGGTGGACATGGAAGGACATGGCTGGATGTGGTGGGAGATGGGTGGACATGGTTGGCTATGGCAAAGACCCTCACACCAGACACAGTGAGAAAGTGCCTCCCCAGAAGGCTGAGCCCTTCTGAGCCCTCATTTAAGTGACATAAGGACATTGCTCCCACCTCCCCTCATCCCTGTAAGGGCAGCAGGAGGGTGGCAGAGGTGCAGGGTCTGAACCGTCCCAGTGTAACACCCATCCGGGCTGGGACAGGGCGCCCGGGATGGTCCCAGTCCACAGGCTCCTTCCCAGCAGCTCCAAGTGCTCCTCACCTGTCCAGGGACGGGTGGTAGTTCTCATCACGCAGGTCATCGGTGTAGGTCAGGTCATCATCCTCAGCAAAGTCCTCATCATCTTCCTCCTCTTCCTCCTCTTCTTCCTGGGGCTCAGGCCCCGGCTCCACCTTCTCCTCGGGGACGAGTTCACTGCAGGAACACAACGACCACAGCTGGAGAGCCCAAGGAATGGGATAGAGGGGTCCAAGCTTGACCTGCAGCTCCAGTCATACATGGGGGAAGACTCCTGCGTGCCACCACTCACCTCCCGTGATCCTCCGCCATGGTCCCCGTCTCTGCTGGCACTTGGGGAGCTGCAAGGAGATGACAGGAGCAGTAAGTTGAAGCTGGGATGTAGGGAGAGGCAGAGGAGGGAGGAGGATAGGGAATGGATCTGGCAGCAGGGCTGGGAAGCTGGAGGTGCTGGGAAAGGAACTGAATGGTGCTTTATCATCTAGTTCCGGAAAGGTCCTCTCCAACCCAAACCATCCTATATGATTCTACTGGAAGAAGCTCATCCTCTTCTCAAGTAGGAACTACAGGGAATATGGAAATCAAAAAGGAGACTTTTCTCCCTGGTTTTCAGTGTGGGTAAAGACGGGAGCTCTTGGAATCTGCACTGAGGTCTTCTGCTCAAGGCCTGGGATGAACCTGAGCTCCCCCAGCTCTGCTCTTCCAGGGGAAGGGAAGGATGGAACAGAAACAGCTCGGTTTGTGGTAGGAGCAAGCCCCACGGGAGACCCTGTTCTTCCAGCAAAGCCCCAGAGATTTGCTTTGCAATAGGGATGCGACAGGCTTGGGACAACACCTGAGCCCAGCGGGAAGGTGCTTGATGCACCCCTGGGATGGGGAGAAGGGTTGAAGACGGGGCATCAAGACGCCAATGAGGGTGGAAAAGGGGACCTGGCGCC